CGTGATGGAGACGGCAGCCGTGGCCGGGCCGGGGCCGGCCGCCGCGGCAGGCGCCGCCTGCTGGGAGGAGCGGAGGGGCGGATGAGGGGGAGGAGGTGTGGTGCTGCAGGCGGAAGGCGCTGCCCGCTGGGAGGAGCAGAGGGGGCGGGTGAAGGGGAGGAGGTGTGGTGCTGCAGGCGGCGGGCGCCGCCCGCTGGGAGGAGCGGAGGGGCGGGTGAAGGGGAGGAGGTGTGGTGCTGCGGGCGGAAGGCACTGCCCGCTGGGAGGAGCGGAGGGGGCGGGTGAAGGGGAGGAGGTGTGCTGCTGCAGGCGGCAGGCGCTGCCTGCTGGGAGGAGCGGAGGGGGCGGGTGAGAGGGAGGAGGTGTGGTGCTGCAGGCGGAAGGCGCTGCCCGCTGGGAGGAGCGAAGGATGCGGGTGGGAGGGAGGAGGTGTGATGCTGCAGGAGGGAGGCGCCGCCTGCTGGGAGGAGCGGAGGGGGCGGGTGAGGAGGAGGAGGTGTGGTGCTGCGGGAGGGAGGCGCCGCCTGCTGGGAGGAGCGGAGGGGGCGGGTGGGGGGAGGAGGTGTGGTGCTACAGGCGGAAGGCGCTGCCCGCTGGGAGGAGCGAAGGATGCGGGTGAGAGGGAGGAGGTGTGGTGCTGCAGGCGGAAGGCGCTGCCCGCTGGGAGGAGCGAAGGATGCGGGTGGGAGGGAGGAGGTGTGGTGCTACAGGCGACAGGCGCCGCCTGCTGAGAGGAGCGGAGGGGGCGGGTGAGGAGGAGGAGGTGTGGTGCTGCGGGAGGGAGGCGCCGCCTGCTGGGAGGAGCGGAGGGGGCGGGTGAGGGGAGGAGGTGTGGTGCTGCAGGCGGAAGGCGCTGCCCGCTGGGAGGAGCGAAGGATGCGGGTGAGGGAAGGAGGTGTAGTGCTGCGGGAGGAGGGGCTGCCCGCTGGGAGGAGCGGAGGGGGCGGGTGAGGGGGAGGAGGTGTGGTGCTGCAGGCGGAAGGCGCTGCCCGCTGGGAGGAGCGAAGGATGCAGGCGAGGGGAGGAGATGTGGTGCTGCGGGCGGGAGGTGCTGCCCGCTGGGAGGAGAGAAGTGGTGTGGATGAGGAGGAGGACTGAAACAGCAAAGCGCTCGGATAAACGACACGTTCAGACTGGCATGGTTGCCAAACAGGATCACCAAGTCATCCGCAGCGCGGAAGTAGACAGAATGCCGTTATGTGTTATTCATACCATGCGACACGCTTCTTCGTGCAAGCGCACTCCGTTGTTGGCAATCGCTGGGAAACATCTCACTCGAACTGAGCAAGCACGAAGAGGTGGAAATTTGCACTACGCAAAAATCGGATTAACCACATGGAAGTGTCAAGACATGTAGAGCTAAAATAGCCTGTGCTCACCCCGAACCATGTCGCTTTAAGTTAAGCTGAGCGTTGCCAAACCGTGCTGAGCTGGGCTGAGCCGACTTCAGCCGATCTGAAAGGATATGAGAGGAGCTGAAGTAAGCCTCATCTGGCCAGTCAAACCCGCTAAAATATGCAGAACCGATTTCATTCAAGTAAAGCCGGCCTAGGCTGGGCTGAGCTCAACAGGGAAGAGACGAACTTGACGAGCGCAGCTCAGCGTTCTCAGCCCCGTCACGGTACCGACTCAGACCTCACCGTCGCGGTCGTTGGGCTGGGTTCGCCTCGGTCGCGCCAGCTGTCGTTGACGGCGATCCGGAGGCTCGGATTATGGTAACGAATGGGCCTCGGCGGCGGCTGCCGCGCCGTCGCCGACATACTCGATCATCCCCGCACCCGCCGCGCTGGCACACGCGCAGGCTGCCGCCGACACACACGCAGGCGTTGCAGCGCACGCGCGCGCGCCAGGTCCTGTCGGCGGTGAACACAGAGATTAATCGGTGGCAGTCATGAGGTGTGCTTGAGACTGTGGGAGGGCTTAAGGCTTGGGCTGAAACAGAAATGCCGGGTGTGGGCAGAGGGTAAAGGAAGACATGACCAACACCAGGCATGCGAAAGGCACCGGCTATACCCGGGTATGTCTTCTTAATTTTTCCCGTGAGCAAGACGGGCCTTCAGCTGTGGTGCTCAGACGAGGTTCCCAAACGGGGCGGGCGGGAACCCGATTCATGGCTGACGGCTGCAGCATTCTCTGCGAGGCCCAGCGTTGCGGGCATGCAAGATGAAACGCTGTCTGTGTATCAAAGGAGCAATCGCAAGCAATTAGGGGTAAGCGGGTGTTTTGCGCATTTAGCGTAGATACAAGTCATCGCGTGGACGAGTGAGGCATTCAGACGATCATCTTAACGCAGGAATTTTTCGAGGCATTTTATCCACATCACTTGCTTAAGAACTTTTTTGTAAATGGTCCACACCGCGTCTGATTTTGCGTCAACCTAACGACAATAGGTTGGCCTGCTAACAATGTTTGCTGTGACTGATCACACTGAAAGAAGTCAGCCCAAACAATAGAAGTTATTTCGTCGATGGGGACGTTGCTTGGGCCAAATGTCCAATAAACTTGATTTTATTTTTAGCTTACCACTTTCAGCGCTTGGTTTGTCTAATCTGGAGGTCCGGTTTTAGACTGAGATTGTATGTGAATTTTAAATACAAGTGCTCATCCAGTTATGATTTCTTTGGCTTTCCGTATTACCCGTACTGTATAATGCACAGTAAGAGCAAGACGGTTATGAAGGCAATGTTAAGCAAATAACATCGCAGCCCAAGACCAGCAGTCCTCACAGTTTGAGCAAGGCGTAGAGGTTTGCCATGCTGCACAGTAAAAGCCATACTTGAAATGTCAATCGAATAGCGCCGTTCTTATTTTGACATGAAATATTATTGATGTATGTGCCACACGTGATACATGGTATTGATTGGCTGATTCAGTGTAGCGAACGCTCAAATGTTGGACCAATGACGTGGAGACATCCACAACATAGCTCTGTTCATAAGGTCGCATGATTTGGAATCCCTTCAATACTTCCCGCGACACCGATTCCGCGGCCTCGGTTGGCTCTGACAGCGCTCCTCTGCACTCCCCAGGTGTCGGCTATGGAGCCGTGATGCAGTGCATCTGGCTGGACAGCTACTACATCGTCGTCATGGCGTGGGCACTCTTTTACTTTTTCAACTCCTTCAGAGCCGGTAAGGCACGGCGAAGACGAAGAGGCCGCACCGCTAGTATAACCGTAGGATGTCCGTATAGGTGTAAAATGATCTTTGAAGGATCACGTGTGGAGGATGTTACAAAATGCGTTTTAAGAAGACACGCTGAGCAACGACCTGGTTTGGATGCTCTCCTAATTGCGCTCATTGGAAGTTATTTTGGTTTGCGGTAGGCCAATACAGGTCCAGTTGTCTTCCATTCGCCTCGAACGTCTCGCCGCGCATGCAGCGTCCTTAAGCCTGTAGCTAGCAGGCCCGTTCGATCATCCTGAGCGAGACGGGCCTGACGAGAAGAGCCAGAGCCTTCCCGCGTGACGGCTATCAGGCGTCATCAGCGACCTTAAACGGGCCGTGCGTCAGCCATATCTCAGCTGTCCTCATATCCGCCCCGCTAGCAAACGCTGCAATGTCGGCGGGCCGGCTGCAATTCCGGCTGCGCTGTCGCCGCCCGCGGCGTTGCACCGCCCGTCCGGTTCTGCTGACCGCCCCCCCCCCCCGCAGCGCTGCCGTGGGGCGACTGCAACAACTGGTGGAACGCGCCCACCTGCGCCAGCCCCTACACGCGCAAGGACCTGGACTGCTGGAGCGAGCAGCTCAACAGCACCGCCAACGCCTCGTACTGCATGATCGGCACCAACGCCATCCCTGAGGCGGACATCACCGACCCGGTCCGCGAGTTCTGGGAGTGAGTCTCGCGCTGGGACCTCTGGTCGCGTCGCATACAGCTGGGCTGTGGGATGATGCTTATTTGCTGATGTGGGCTGCCAGACTCGGCTAAGTGGCTGGCGTGGGTTTTTACTTGTTTCCGGCCGCCTTTTGCGGTGGGCTGACGGAGCTGTCCTGTCTAATGGCAAGCCGACGATCTGTTTAACTGTACCTTTTCCTGCAGTGTACTTTCCTTGGCATTGCAAACATATCTACATCGTTCCCTTTTTATTAGACCAGTGACATTTTCTATGGACGGAGGCAACGGGACCTGACACTGGCTACTTTAAATTTTCAAAACCCCTTTTACCTAAGATAATATGACGTCAACTTTGCGTAACCATTCAACAGTTTCGTCATCCTCATTCGTGGGAACTGTTTTTAGAAATTGAAGTTGTTTTAACATTGATATTGTTTTGATAAAGGCATGCGGCCGAAATATCAACGTACTTAAATCTCCATTCTCCTGGCTTTTCTCCGAAGAATAAGACTATTACTACTGTTTTATCTATGCGAACAATGTTCCTAAAAAATGCACTTAACAAATTACGAAATACGTAGCGAGTTTTCACCGGCTTGCCTTGAGTCCTTGTCCCGCTGCGCTCTACAGCTGTCAGCATGGGGCCGGGCAGACCTGGTTATAACACAGGCCACATCTCGCAGGATTCGAGCGCTCAGCATATCGAAGGGCATTGACGACGTGGGTGAGATTCGCTGGGAGCTGGTCGGCACCCTCGCCCTCGCCTGGGTCTTCTGCTACTTCTGCATCTGGAAAGGCGTCAAGTACACCGGCAAGGTACAGCAGATACCACAACACTCAGCGAAGGGAATTTTGCCGCGGATCTGACGCTCCCGATCGAGGTGGATGAAGGCGATGACTCACCGCTTGACTGTTGATGCCCATCACATGGCTCCTTCCGGGCCGCCGATATGGGCCACATTCACCGTGAAATGTTAGGTGCATAACCTGACGATAGACATGATGCCTGTGCTTTGTTTTTATGATCTTCGCTTTGTTCCTCAGGTAGTGTACTTTACATCGCTGTTCCCGTACGTTTTGATGTTCATACTTCTGATACGAGGAGTGACCCTGCCCGGCGCCATCGAGGGCATCAAGTTCTACATCCTGCCGGACATCAGCAGGCTCTCCGAAATCAAGGTAAGGCAGGTATCTGGCACGGCCCAGCTGAAACACAACAGAGACCGTGCTCTCGGCCCCGGTCTCGAACCACGCTGGCACGCCCCCTTTCGTAGCATAAGCCCGGTCCTGCCGGCACACGTTCCAGCGTGATCCGCGTGGCGCCTGGCGGGAGCTGGTCGCGTGCCTCGGATGAGTCGGAGTGCAGCGTTGCTGCGCCAGCTGCGCGCGGTCGCGACCACCCGGCCCGGGTGACGTGCAGCGGCTGCCGTTCCAGGTGTGGACCGACGCCGCCACGCAGGTGTTCTTCTCGTACGGTCTGGCTCTGGGCTCCTTGATCGCGCTCGGGAGTTATAACAAGTTCAACAACAACGTGCACAGGTTGGTGTGCAGCTTGATACGAGGTCTGGCGCGAGAAAGTCCAGTTGCGAAAGCGCCTCAGCTCAACTCAAAGCGCTGCGATTCATAGACACAACAAGGCTTCCGGGACAATATGTTTATCACGTTACAAAGCTTTCCGTAAGAACAATGCCTATGTTCACCCAGTTCACAGCCGTCATCCCGCTTGTACTTGTCGCAAGAGAAGCTAATTCACAACGTCTGAACCATCGATGAGTCGGTGGAAGGCCATGTTGCACTGGTCGGCACCGACTGCTAAAGGACGTTTTGCCGGCTTCATCTAATCACTACATTCCCTTGCAGGGACGCCATGATGATATGCAGCATCAATTCGTGCACCTCCATATTCGCCGGCTTTGTGATCTTCTCAGTGATAGGCTACATGGCGACCATACAGGGAAAGCCTGTGGAGGAGGTGGCAGCAGCTGGTAAGCGACAAATCAGGAACCTGGCGTTCGGCGCACAGATTGATAAGGATAATGAAAAACTGATCTAACAAAGCGACCTTCACCCATTGAAGCTTTTATGGCAAATGATTATACGGAAAATATTTTGGATTTTTGAAGGAATGCGATTGCCAAAACAGCACAGTTGAGCGCACGTGACACCTATCGTTGAAACTAAGGTCAGTTATTTTATAAGCGAGTATTATAAGAGCGGCAGCAGCCGCCCCCGCGGAATAAGAAGCGATGCGTGGCGTCATGGCCCTGCCTTTGAGACCGCCACTAGTGTCACCGCTCGTGCGGCGTGTGATGCGCTGGTGTCCCGCGAACGCGTGGTGTGTGGCGCGCTGGCATTCCGCCAGCGTGCGATGTGTGGCACGCTGGTATTCCGCCAGCGTGCGGTGTGTGGTGCGCTGGTATTCCGCCAGCGTGCGATGTATGGTATGCTGGTATTCCGCCAGCGTGCGATGTGTGGCATGCTGGTATTCCGCCAGCGTGCGGTGTGTGGCGCGCTGGTATTCCGCCAGCGTGCGATGTGTGGCATGCTGGTATTCCGCCAGCGTGCGATGTGTGGCACGCTGGTATTCCGCCAGCGTGCGATGTGTGGCACGCTGGTATTCCGCCAGCGTGCGGTGTGTGGCACGCTGGTATTCCGCCAGCGTGCGGTGTGTGGTGCGCTGGTATCCCGCCAGCGTGCGATGTGTGGCGCGCTGGTGTCCCGCGAGCGGCCGCCGGCGTCTGGCGCGTCGGCTGACCGCTGCCCCGTGCGGCCAGGCCCCGGCCTGCTCTTCCTCGTGTACCCGTCGGCCATCCTCCAGCTGCCCATCAGTCCGCTCTGGTCGGCCATGTTCTTCCTGATGGTGCTCATGCTCGGCCTGGACTCTCAGGTAAGCGGGCCGGGCTGGCGAGAAGGTCGATGACCGGGCTCGGGTCGGGTCAGGTTCAGTCGGATGCCGGTGCCGTGTGGCAGCCGTCTGATGACGACCGCCTTTGGCATCAGGTCTACAGGTGTGCTTGTAAAAGCGGGAGGGGTCTTTTGCCCACTGTCATGTTATTGTCGCGAAATACTGTGGTGTGTACCTGTTTGAACACCACGGTTATCTCTGACTTAAAGACCGTTGTTAAGCGCAGTAAGTTACTTTTGGCACTACATGGCTTGGAGCAGTGTTCGGGGGGGGGGGGGGGAGGGGGCTGCGGAGTATGACGGCTGCCGGAGATGACAGTCGATCTGTCTGCATGACTGGCAGTTCTGCACGATGGAGGGCTTCATCACGGCCGTTGTGGACGAGGTGCCACACATTCTGCGGCGTCCCAAAAGGAAGGAAGTGTTCATCGCCATTTACTGCTTTCTATCCTTCCTCATCGGAATATCCATGGTCACAGAGGTACGTACCCATCTGATCAACTAAGGCTGGGTTCAATGTGTTGACATAAATCAATCAAAGACTTGTTGCACAGTTACCATTTCGCCATAGTTCAACGATAAGGGCCTTATGCTTATTTGAGCATGCACAGATGTATATTCAACTCACTGTTAACCAATGACATGGGGCTGTGGGCGTTACGGTAGCTATATATATATGCATGCCTAACCTCTCGAATCACTGCCTTGAAACATATGGTCAACGATTGAAGTATGTTAAGATGACGGAAGACTTTATACCTTGCACACTTTTCACAGTTCACAATCGGTCAGCGAAAACAATTCTAGCCTCCCTTGACCCTGTGACTGCCCTCTCAACTTGCTCTGGAACTCTCCTGTTTAAACAAACGATCTGAAGCAAACGGCACCTGCTTACTTGTGGCCAGCATGACAAATATTTCCTTTTGAACTGAACTTTGAGGAATGGATGGCCTATATTTTCGTCCCGCGGAGTTTATGGTTCCATTCCAACTGTCGTAATTTTGAACGCTTTCCATGCCCTTCGTATAAAATAAGACTCAACTGAGTTGACGTCATTTTGACTCACTCAGCTATCAAAAAGCTAGAGAGCTAGAGACACAAAATTCACAGAGTAGGTAAAATTTTACGTGAGCCTGTTTGTGTGACATTTGCACATATCAAGTTCGTGACTCTTGCATTAGCTAAGGTCAAAAATGGTCAAACATAAAACTAGCGTTGAAAGTTCACTCAGACCTTGTTACGTAACCAAGTTTTACCAAAACGGCTTTTCCAAGCGAAAGGTCAGTGAGGGTTGCATTAAGTAAATAGCCTATTCTGACTAGTAAAAATACAAAGCAACGCAAAATTTCCGACTCAGACTGGTACTTGAATTTAGGTCAGAGTCAAGAACCACCGTAGGCAGCAAGTTCTTCGGATCGGAAGGTTGATCAAGGTCATTTCATTTCAGTGACTTTTCCTGTCCTTAAAGGGAACATAACTCATCCAGCATCGCCTCTTTGACCAATGAATCCGTGATAAGCGTCGAAACTGCCTCATAAATATGTCTGAGTCAAAAAGCTGTTCGATTTTGACGGAAGTCTGATCTCCATAATAAGCTTAAGTTTAGGGAATTAGTTACACTTGTAATCTGAATGGCTCGATTGTCTGAGGAGCCATGCTTAAGTTGCATGGCTTAGTGTAAAGCCGCTGTCGCAATAACTTAAAAGCTGGCCTAAGAACTGACCTTACTGATGAAGGTGGTCTAGATGACCGCTACAGGGCTGTGACCAAAAAAACTGCATTGTTTACGCCACAATATCAGCTATGCAATTGTCTAGAAGCACTCAAAGTTTGGTACCGCTGCGCCACACCACTCAAAATTATTTCGGGAGAGCGATAAGGTAATCAAAGTGATCCCCGCTCGAGACCGTGCTAATTTTGATCAATAGAAGTTTGTGCCATATGATAACCTCTGCATGGTATGCCAGGTATCCGTCGTGTTACCCACAATTCGCCAGGAAAAGTTCAGTAATGTTGTTTATCCCGCTGTCCTGATCAATACAGCAAGTAAGACGTGGACGAAATGAAATATTTTTTTAAAGATTTGGTCCGAACCCTTTAAATTGGTGGATTTCCGGAATCAGAGCTCACGCTAAGCAGCGCTTGTTGTGTGAGCCCTGACCCCTACCATGCGATCGCGCAATTCCATATCAACGGCAGAATTTGGTGGCGAAAGCTTAACGTGCCGCAACGCTCGGTACGGTCCGTCCTGCCCTCTGAAGTCAGCCGACCTTTAGCGCGACCGCTGCCACCGGCCGCAGGCCATACGTGTCAAGGGCAAATAGCGAGCGCCCTAAAGCGACTCGAACCCACCCCGTCACGGGTGGGTGGATCGGAAGGCAGGCGCTCTAACCAACTGAGCCTCCGGGACGGACGGACGGACGGAATATGATAGAAGAGGAAGTGAGAGAAGATCTAGATGTTCGTAATCTTTACGACCAAACCGGCAGTTTTGAACACAACGACGTATGAAAAGCTGCGTCGTCCATCAAGTAGTCAGTTCGTTACACACAATAGACGAGCGTCACACGGGGTGCTGTGCCCCAAGTTGGGGATGCTTGCTTCGACAGATAAACAGTTTGTTCATGTTTGTTAAATTACTTCCAAAAGAAATCTGTTTTACTACAACTGTTTTGAACAAAATGCGATCCGATCGACTTTTATCACACCGCTGTCCTAACAATCGCACCGGATTTGTGAGAGCATGCCGGCCCACATCCGGCGGCCTTGGACCGTAGCGGCGCGCAGCTGTCACCAGGACACGTGCGTGCTTCCCTCAGGGCGGCATGTACGTGCTGGTCATCTTCGAGGACTACGCTGCCTCCGGGCTAGCGCTGCTCACGCTCATCTTCTTCGAGTGCATCGCCATCGGCTGGGGCTTCGGCGTCAACCGCTACTTCGACGCCATCAAGGAGATGGTCGGGTACTATCCGTTCCTCTGGTTCAAACTCTGCTGGACGGTGGTGTGCCCCGCCATCACGCTGGTAAGCAGGGTGTGCACTCTCTCTCTCTCTCTCTCTCTCTCTCCTCTCTAGAGAGCGAGAGAGAGAGAGAGAGAGAGAGAGGAGGAGAGAGCAGAGAGAGAGAGAGAGAGAGAGCGAGAGAGAGAGAGAGGAGAGAGAGAGAGAGAGAGAGAGAGAGAGGAGGAGGAGAGAGAGAGGAGGAGAGAGAGAGAGAGGAAGAGAGAGAGAGAGAGAGAGAGAGAGAGAAGAGAGAGAGAGAGAGAGAGAGAGGAGAGAGAGGAGAGAGAGCGATAGAGAGAGCGAGAGAGAGAGAGAGAGAGAGAGAGAGCGAGAGGGAGAGAGAGAGAGAGAGGATAGAGAGAGAGAGGAGAGAGAGAGAGAGAGAGAGAGAGAGAGCGATGCGAGAGAGAGAGAAGAGAGCTATCTCTCTCTCTCTCTCTCTCCCTCTCTCTCTCTCTCTCTCTCTCCCTCTCTCTCTCTCTCTCTCTCTCTCTCTCTCTCTCTCTCTCTCTCTCTCTCTCTCTCTCTCTCTCTCTCTCTCTCTCTCTCATCAGAATCGTATTATATGCCGTCCAAGCACTCTTGTGATGTAACGATGTAGAGCAGGCATCATAAATATGAACGCGAACCACTTGTTGCATTCAGTTTCGAGACGCGGTGCTTTCTTCTGTCGCTCGTAGCCCTAATACCCGATATTTGTCGGTGTGATGGCGGTTGGAGGCGTGTTGCTATTTAGCGCGACAAGCACATTTATTTTCCAGACATTCAGCTCCCGGACAGCATCCAACACGCAGTGAACTGACTCACAAGAGGCTCATGGTGCCCGTCGTTGACCTCAGACCATATGTCACCAATCAAACCACGGTGTCGCCTGTAAGGTTGTGACACATCTTTCATCAGTTTCGCACCTTATTTCTGGTGTTCGGTTAACCTCCCCATTCATCAACAGGGCGTATTCGTGTTCAACGTAGCCAACTTCACGCCCGTCAAGTACGTCAACTATGAGTACCCTTGGTGGGCGCACCTGATTGGCATCATGCTGGGCCTGTCATCTATGCTCTGCCCACCTACGTTCTTCATCTACTCGTTCTTGAAGGCAGAGGGCTCCTTCACTGAGGTGAGACTTTTGTTGGCCGATCAGAGGCTGGCTAATGGTAGGGAAAAATGTGGTACACCTGTTTTGACGTTCTGGTATAGCTTTCCAGGTAAAGTGACGAGCGACTTTGGAAAACATAAAGTTGAAAATGTGTAGCTTTTGTCAACTTTTCAGTCCTTGTTTTTTCTTCCTCCTAACGTATTCTTTTGCTGACCCGAAAAGCTTGGTCACACTGCAATATAAGGGTGTTTTTGCTTTTCTTAAAACATCAGGCCCTTAGATTGACTTTTTAAGTGCGGGAAAACCTCATCCAGGAGGCTTTGAACAAGGTTGACGGAATCTAATTTTATTCAACGACGGCACTGGTTACTTCAGCGAGGGCCAAATCGCCCAAAAGCTGAGCTTGGAATATCGTCAAGAGGAATCCTCAGACTGTACTGTCAATATTTTTCCAACAACAAGATCTTCATGTGTTCTTTGACTTGGCCTTTCTGTTATATTGCTGGCTGGCTATTGTTCCCAACAATGTCGAAAATGGGGGTCCTTCTTAATAACGTCAAACGTTATTTCAGCGACTGAAAACGATTTGCCGCCCCGAAATTGGCAACGTGACCAACAAAAACGTCGGCAAGTTTGACTCGATGCTCTAAAAGCACGATCACCAGCCATTTCGCTTTGATGTGAAAAAGACCGCCAGACGTCAGGCGGTCGATATCGTCCGCGGTTGTCGCCCTGGCGGTCGATCTGAGCAGCTGCAGTTCACCGCCTCGCCGCTGCGATGCGCAGCGGAGCAACCCTGTCTTCCTGGAATCCCGTCTGCACGGGTTCGCCAGTCTTCCAGTGCGAAACGCACACAAGAGGTCTGCTTTCTGGACTGTATCGCTGTGTTGGTTCAATCGGTGACCTTTTGAAAGCCGTTTACAGCTGGGTAGTTTTGATAGCATGACATACCCGACGTGGGTTGGGTGTCTGCGTAAGTAGGTGCGATAGAGAGGACCGCTTAAGCTCGTGCGAGTAGTGGTGCTTGCTAGTTCTTCTTGCAACGCGTCTTCCAGTGGGTTTTCACGGTTGGTCTTCCATTTTCTGAAGGTGTTGGTAATGCTGTTGGTAACTGTGGTTGACTGTGTATTTTCAGCTTGGTAGTGAAGTAGACTCATTCGCGACATTTAGTACGCCGCCTGCGTGCAGTATGGACCCTCTCAAGTGGAGCATAAGCTGACACCTGTCGTCTGCTGACCTCATACTGTTCATGTACCTCGCGAGCGTTTCCCATACGCATCATGCGCGAAAACTCGGCTTGTGTTGTGAATTTATCATTGACGTGATTTGCTCGGACTGACGAAGCACGTGCCTGCGGCAAGGAGGGCTATGCTTTGGATGGCTGAAACCTTTGAGCTCGTGCTCGTGGGGCAGCTTGGGAACATTCATGAATTAAGATGTTTTAAGCAGTTAAGATGTTTGTTGTTGAAATAAGATGTTAAGAATTAAGATGTTTTCTACAAAATTATAAATTGAGATCATGGCGCAAATGCTCATGCTATTGAGGACGTAAAATAATATTCCAGCTTTGTCCCAGAAAGGTGTCCCATTCATTTATTCTAGTACAAGATATTACTGTATCGATTGCTGGCAAACGTCATAAAAGCTTGTTGCCACTCTAATGCGATGAACGTTTTTCATTACCTGCGCTGCTCCATGCGCGCAGAATGTTCGAATTTTCCCAAAACACCTGATGTCCTCTTAGTTTGTGACCAGCGGATGCAGTTGAATCTACACGTTATCACGGGGATAATTCTGCTTCTATTGTGGAACGCGTTCTGTACGATAATGCCTGCAAGATTTAGGCTCGAACGTCTGTCAGAGCCCTTGTAAAAGCTATGGTGATTGGCTGACAGTACTTGAGGATATTCTGAACTTGCTGCAGCTTGTGCGCTGGTACCCCGTCCGGGACCATTGGCTGCACATAAGTGGAGCTTTCCCGATTGCAGACGACCGTTTTATCAAGTGATGATCAGAAATGAATTATGCATATCACTAGCAAGCTCTTTGCAAGCGCTCATGCCAGGTCTAAGTGGGATGTAATTTAGTGTTAAGGCCGGAATGCTGACGATTGAAAAATCGTCATTTTGACAAACCTTCGGATTCATTTGCTCATAAGAAAATAATTCGTACACAACTTGCTTCACGAACAGAACATGACATCACGTTGCTCTCAAAGCAGTGGTGGTAAAGTAGCTGAAGCTGTTTTCGCTGAGCAAGTGACAAGGATATAGTCCGTTCAAACCATCAGCCAAGTGTCAGGGGATCACTGGGTTAAAGGGTGAGAGCATTTGTCCGGGCCTTGGCAATGACACCTGTATCTCGTCTGGTTTCACAACTATCTCCATATATTAAACAAGTGAAGAACGAGTTATGCATCCTTATACTATCCTGTAAAACGTCACACTCCATTAACACGCGTTTTCAGGTAAAACATAAGCTCCCCATGACCTCATTTTGTCACTTTAACATAAACATAGCAGTTGCACCCAAGATGAAGGTGCGTAAGCATAATCAGGTGCATGAGCCGTCAGCGAGAGCAGTTAGCACAACACGCTGGGTAAGCCTGAGGCGCGTCTAAATAGTCTCTCCTGCGCCAATATCACGCCATGCGGCAGCCTAATCCGCCAGGTCAAATATTTTGCTTTCCGTCTTACCGAAGGCGCAGGAGTTAATATGCGCTGCATCAGGACTCGAACGGCATATATATCAGCAGTTCTGTCGGTCTGGGGACATATCCGCTTTTCCGTTAAAAGCATAAGTATGCGTCTTCTACATGTAATATGTCCCGGTCGGTCCCTGTTTGCATTATCTAGGTGCGGGAGCTAAGTGGTCCGGGCAAAAATACTTTAAGCACCGTGCCGTCTAGTCCTGGTGGAATTACGTCTTCCATTCTACTGATACAACCCTGTTTTACCCCGATTGCTGTCAGCGTCTGTTTTTCTGTCCTGAACTGCGCGTCGATCTCGATGGGTAAACCACTCGATGCCCTTATTTTCCTCCAGCCATGAAGATAAGGTCATTGATTGTACCCAACTGTATGCCGTTGATGTATCCATCTTCTTCTCACATTCACACAGGCTTGGGAAAGCTGGTTTTTAATTTATATGTTTGCTGCATCGGGAGTTGTGCCAACGCAGGCTAACAATACCCGTGAGCTTTGAACGAGTGCCATTACCACGCTAAGAAACTGTAAATACACATTCTCTGTGGTAGCTGTTGGGCGAGCGCCCTCGCTCAGTCCGGCCCTTTCCATGCGCTGACCTAGGGCTTGATGGTGACCGTTTTCTAGCTCTGTGTTAGTCGTGCCGTGGCAGGTCAGTCCCCCGTCGTGTGGCGCGCCCCAGGAGGCAGTTCGTGTTCGGCTTAAGGCGTTGGTAGAGTGGCCCGGCAGCGTTGTAGAGCGGCACCGCCGCCCGGCGCTCCAGGCCGGCCGTGCCCGGACCCGCCGCTCGCGCCCGCTGCTTCGCCGACGCTCGCTGTCGCGGTGCCTGCCTGAGCCGGTCTCAGCACGTGTCTGTGGTAACCCCGCCCTCCTGTCAGAGGATCGGCACCTGTTGGCCTGAGCAGGTCTCAGTACCTCCGCGTAGTCCCGTGGCGTGTCCGCGAGACGGTAGTACTCACTTTCCCGCGGACTAGGCCGTCATCGGTGTCCTGATGACGTAGCCCACGGTTTAGGTCGCATATTCACCCCCGCTCTTCGAACAATACATTCAAAAAAGCCATCCGTGTTTTCTTCTTCGATGCGAGTGCTCATGCACGAGCGCTTATGGTCGTAGATTGGGCAAAAGTATTCGAAACAGGTTCAGATGATAAATGTCGTACCCGGCAGCTCGTAATAGCTCGCCTGGATCGAAGGCAGTGTTCAAATATTGCAATCCAGCGAACAAAGTTAGTTGTCTTCAGAAGATTGCGGTTCCTGCACAGGTTGTTATGATTACAGATAAAAACTGTTCGCACATACAACGAAAACCGTAACGTGTACTGATCGAACTCGACCAAATACCTGTCAGAAGATGCTCTGAGTAGATAAGTTTATGTGTGATTCATCACTGGATCCTCAGAGTTGTAAACTTACAAAACCATAGCTAAGTGCCTTGATCTGCGTATAGTGCTGACAGTGCTGGTGTAAGTCGTATACATCTTCAGCTATTTAGCTGTCGTTCGTGCTTTACCACCTATGCAGTTCGCCTGTGGTCCAAAGAACCTCACCGCGGGGGAGCGTGCAGGACGCTTCACACATCACGCCACTATAACGGCGCTGCAGTGCATGTTACCGTGATCATCACCGTGCTGCACAGCCCAGCTCCCGCACTGCAAGTTGAAGCTGCATTCGCCAGCTAGTTCACCGACGACAAAACAGAGCGTAAGATCCGTCTTCTCACTCTGCATCCCACCGGCTGAAGCGCGCCACGGACCGCCATACCGCGCGCGCGACACAGGCCGCCACCCTCCGGTCCGCTCGAGACGCTCGCGCCTCGCCGGCTACACAGGGACCTCCCGGTGCGCCAGCCGGTAGAACGTGGGAAGTGACGGATCGAGCTCGCTCGCCGCGCCGCCCGCGCGCTCGTCCGAGCCGGGCTCCTGCGCGAACACCACGTCCGCCTCGAGGAACGAGTAGAGGTAGGCGGGGCCGGCCGGGTCGACGCCGGCTCTGTACGCGGCCGCCTGAGCCCAGGGGAAGAGCGGCGGCAGCGGCATCACCCGCCAGAAGTCGGCCAGTTGGCTCGGCACGGTCGGCACCGCGAACAGGTTCGCCCCGCATGTCCTCCACCACCTGGTTGAAGCTGTGGAGGGACTCCGTGTCAGCGGGGCTGATGTGCGCGGCGCCGCTGATTGGTTGATAGAGTAGTTGAAACCTAGCGTACGTACATACACCCTGCTCTTAAAAGGTACGGGAGGCAGCAGGGAGAGACAGCTCTTAGTGACAAGCTTGGGGAGTGATCACTGACGGGTAGAAAATGCACGTCAGCTGGCATCACAATGTGGCACGCGTCGAGGCGTAAGACATCCGGACCGGTGAGAAACCTGTCCGCGGGGTCTTCCTTGGGCCACTCACGTTGGTGTCTCTGGCCCGATGGCCTCCGTTTGGTACGGGTCTGCCGTTAGGTTGTACAGCAAAGTGGTCTCCTTGCACAGCTGGCATCCCTTGGTGATGTAGAGCTTGAAGATAGTTGGGTCCGTCTCTGCGGCATGGACCATTGCGTCAAGCATATGTAGTAAGATACCGGCGTTTGCAACGCACTGCATTTTGCTATTGTTTTCGTAACTAGCGGCCTCGTGTGGCCGTTATTGTGTGATGGGTGCCCGAAAAATGAGAAATGCGTGGCAAAGAGCACTTGTCAAACGAGCGACAACTGTCGAAACATTATTTAGAATAATGACGGGAGGACTCACGCTCGATCTCAAGGGTATGCAGCAGTGATTGAAGCTGACATGACGACTTAGGTCCTGAGCTAGGTCTCTTGATTAGCATGAGGCAGTATAACCGGAGGCTATTTACATGTACGCTTGCTCTGCCTCAGCCTCTGCTCTGTCAGTAGCATGATTAGCACTTTGACATGCAAGGAGGCTGCACACTGACCGTCCTCAGAAACAATGGTTACGCTATCCAGGTCGTCTCCTCTGTAGCTGTAATGGTAACGTTGGCTGTTCTCCCCCTGCGTCAGCATAGGGAAAAAACAGGCTTCTGCCGTCCAGTTCCATGCTTAGCAGCTCCTGCGAAGCATTAGCCGCGTTCGTTCACATGACTTGCCAAAAACGACAGCCGAATGAACCAATCGAGGTCACAATCGAATCAACGTCTTGCACGAAGCGCCATTGTGACATATCATCGAGCATTCAGCTATCACTGCCAGCAAATAGTCATAATATTGCCAGCACACAATGCTGGTTAATGATCTGTTTGCATTTTAGATATTGATCAACCGAGCATATGCTACCTTTGACAGCCACGTAACAAATACATGGAATCTGAACCCTAAGATAACACAATCATGCTTTTGACATTGTCTGACACGTCCACAGACGTCAGGTCGATGCGTTGGTTTGAGAAATGAAGGAGGTAAATAACTGAGCCTCTATCTCTCGTCCTGTCTCCGCTCCAATGTCACTGCCGCCACGCAACAATCGGCACATGAAATTCCATACAGCTGAACGGTTCCTTAAACTACTCTGTCTTTAGCTAGCTCAGTACCATCCGCCCCTCCCATCCCACCCTCTCGCCTCTCCCCACACTCCTGCGGCGGTGCCTCACAGCGCCTTTGCCGATGACATCCACCACCGTAGGCAGCAGGTCCAGCACGGAGGTCGGCCGGTGCAGCACGTGCGGCTTCATCAGGCCCCGGTACATGAACATGCCCGGCACGCGGGCGTCAGTGATGTTGGACGTTTTCGGCGCTGCAGAGGTGCAGCGATCCGTGAGCTGCGCCGCACACCGCGTTCCCAGATGAGTCTCTGCGGTTTGGAGACGGCGCGGAGACGGGATTCCGCGCGGCTCAGCGTGATAAGCCCGGGAGCCAGGACGGCCGTGGTCAGCACCGACGAGCGCCCTTTGCAGCGGTATCCGGTCCTTGAGAAAGGCCGTTGATCGCGGACGTCTACCGTTCGTTGACATGGTAATGCATGCCCCGATGGATTAGCACGCAGCTAGTACAAGAGGGGGGAGGGGGTATCACAGGACACGCTATCTCAAAGACCACGGTTTTTGCGATGCATATTTCCGGCTTACGGTAGGACATAAGGTCGTTGAAGTCGGAGGCGAAGTAGACAATCGTGTCGTCCAGCAGCTCCAGCTCCTCCAGGTGATCGAGGACGCGACCGACGGCCCAGTCCAGCTCCAGCACGCTGTCGTAGTAGGCGTTGACGCCGCTGTTGCCGACCCGGTGTGGCGCCGTGACCGGTGGATCATGCACCTGACGGAACCGGTGGCCGTATCGGGTCACAGGTCACGGGTCGCGGGTCATGTCGGACCCAGCGGCTGCATCGGGCCACGGGTTACGGGTCACCATCGAAACCAGCGGTCGCATCGGGTTACAGGTCACGGGTCGCGGGTCAAAGTCGGACCAGCGGCTGCATGGGGCCATAGGCCACGGGTCACCATAGGAACCGGCGGTCGCATCGGGTCACGGTTCAGGCGGGTAGCGCTCCGAACGGTACACGGCGACGCCTGGCGGAGTCCTTCGCTCTCGTACGGCTCTGCAAGTTCATAAAACAAGCCTTGAGTGGATCGTTTGTCGAGCGATTCCGTGGAATGCGGCAGGCTAAATTGCCTATTCATGCAATAGTAGGGCACTTGAAATGTCACTAAACCGAACCGCCTGCACTGGATAATCATGCACATTGCATCGTGCGCCGGCGGAATGATGAAATGCAGCTGGTCTGCAACTTTCCGTCTGATTGCTGTTTCCCGTCCTGAATACTGAATGCAATGATGTGACTGATATCAGTTCTAACTAACGGAGGAACGAGGAGACAAAAAGTCGTTTCAAAACAATTCAACGGAAGTAGGGAGAACTGGCACGACACGCGTTTCATGTACCAAACCATGCGCCAAACGACTTCAAACTCCATTTCTGAATAGCACATTGCAGCATTTTCACGCCTTTTCGTCTAAGACGTGAATACTTAAGGGCTATTAGGGGTGTTGTTTTATGGCTCGTCAACTGCATTGGTTATTTGCGCTTCAATGTCATGAGAAAATGTTTCTATCATTCCTACAAAACCTTTCTCGAAATCTAGCTGGTGTGACAAAGTACTTACTTGTCGCTCTCTCATGCCAGGTATGCATGCCTAACTTCTCGACATCATGTGACGGGTCATTCCAAGCTGATGTATGCTTGACCTAGTTCAGCGCGTCACGCTGTACTTCAGTATTTAAGGATATGGAAACCGGATCGATTTGGCGCAGGCTGTAAGTGTGCGGAGAACGGGAAAGCTGAATTACAATGCAGAGTCCTGTCGACGTAACCTGCAATGAGCAGAAAACTTCCGGGTCTCGGACTGAATGTGATGCAAACTAACAGTTATTGAGCTCGTGAACAAAAGCAAAGAGACGTAAGTTGTTAAGCGCATTTGCGAGGAGCATTATGCATGTAGCTAAAACAATAGTAATAGTCTTATTTCTCATAAAGAACAGGAGAATGGAGAAATGGATGCAGTGATATTTTGGCCACATGCCTTTATGGAAAAGGGATTTTAACCCATTCGTTCCACATTTACAGAATGTGTAAAATTCGGCTACATTATCTGGACAGTCGAGTGCTTAGATCTAAACGCTCCCTATTTACACGTCAAATACTTTCACTCTTTTTGATAACTAACTCAAAAATTTCGGAGCGAGAACTTTGCTCTCTGTGCTAGCTTTAAGAACTATCGCATTGGCGTCCCGAGCCTTCCAGCTTCCTGTTTTAACCCGTGCCCAGTTGATCTATATCTATGCCGTGTTTTTTTTTTTACGCTAGTGCAAGCCGTCTGTGTTGGAAACGTTCCTGACACGAACGCATGTCGCAGCTTTTGCGATTATCGCATGTAGGATAATATGCCTGAGAGGTAGCCGCCGTCTTCATATCCCATTGTTCCTCACTTTTCCCTGACTGCCTAGAATACGCACGTGCAGGAAGCTGTGCTGCAGCAGGAACGGTTTGCCGGCGCGCTTGCTGGATTTGATGAACTCGAGCGACTCAAACAGAATAGGCAGCGTCATGCCCTGCAGCGAGTACGGCCATCGAGCGACGGCGTCATCACGGACCAGCAGGAGGTCCAGCTTCTGCTGCAGCTCCGCCGTGAGCCGCGCCTGCTCGCGGAGGCTTCCGCCGGAGGTGACCACTTGCGCCAGCCACTGGTACCAGGCCGCCTCGGCAATCGGCCGGTAGATGGATCTGACCGCCGACTGGTTGGCCATCACCTCCAGGTAGGCGTTGAGCTCCTGCATCGTTGGCAACAGGCTCTCCTCCAGCTGCTCCGGCTCGCTGATGGACACGCTCAGCGGCACGCCGTGGAACGAGTCGAAGCCGTGCTTCAGCGGCGAGTGGCAGGCATCCGCCCACGACTCGCACGCCCAGCCCAGCTCCCAGCCGCCTGCGGGAGCAGAGAAGGACTGTCAGCCCAGCCCCCAGCCGCCTGCTGGAGCGGGAGGAACTGTCAGCCCAGCTCCCAGCCGCCTACGGGAGCGGGAGGAACTGTCAGCCCAGCTCCCAGCCGCCTGCGGGAGCGGGAGGAACTGTCAGCCCAGCTCCCAGCCGCCTGCGGGAGCGGGAGGAACTGTCAGCCCAGCTCCCAGCCGCCTGCGGGAGTAGAGAGTGACTGTCGGCCCAGCTCCCAGCCGCCTGCGGGAGCAGAGAGTGACTGTCGGCCCAGCTCCCAGCCGTCTGCGGGAGCAGAGAGGGACTGTTAGCCCAGCTCTCAGATGTCTACAGAGAGCGATTGTCAGTCCAGCTTACAGTTGCCTGCAGAGTGTAGTTGTTGGCTGTCACAGGAACGGGCCATGCGAGTGGCCGGCGCACAAAGCGCTTTGACTTCGCTGGGGCTCCGCGTATATATATACATATATATATATATATATATATATATATATATATATATATATATATATAATATCATGCATGTGTCACTCATTCACGATGCAGGCAGGCATTGACTTTGAGCGGTAAACAACGTGGCTGGTTTAGACAACAGTTCTGCAGCTCATTGCGCTGGAAGTTGGTGAAGTAAAAATGCCGACGGACGGACATCCAGCACTTTTTGGTTCACGTAATCTGGACGCGATTAGCTTCGAACCTTCTGTCCTGGTGACCACACGGAGCGGGTATGGCCAGATCAAAAATCACATCACCGTTCGTCTGCTACATACCCGCGGCCTTTGTTCGATAACCGGACTTCTTCAGGAGGTCAGCATAGGTCAGTGTCGAGTTGGGCAGCCCTGCCCGGCTGAGAGTGTGCAGGATCTGGCGGACCCCCTGTTCGCTCTCCTGAAGACCTGCAGGCACGGAAGTGTGACAGCCGCCGTCACGCGAGGCGTGACTGCGCGAGACAAGCGCGGACGTCGATCAGTGGAGCTCCTCCAGTAATCGTGCGGAGCTCCGCTCGCCGAGTTATGCCAAACACTACACCACGGGGCCAGTTTACGGGTCACACCCCAGTGAGCCGTCTCCATGGAGCGCGTCGAACCGCCATCCGGTCACCACCTCGTCAACACGGCGCAGAACCCCCGCCGGCCGCGGAGCGGAGCCCCGCGGGCGTACGTACCGTAGCGCGTGGGCATCTGTCCGGTCAGATGGGCCGCCCGGTTGGCCGTCGGTGTGAGCGCCGGGACCGTGTGGTGTCGCAGCAGCACGCCCCCGGCCGCCAGTCTGCCGGCACGGACACGCGTGAGCGCGCCGGCCTCGACGGCCACCCTTCCGGTGGTGAGGTGGGACGGGCTGGCTAACGGACCGCCGCTGACCTGTGTCTGCGCCGGGAGGCTGGCCGCCGCTGATCGGTGACTGCGCCGGGGAGTTGGCCACCGCTAATCTGTGACTGCGCCGGAGAGTTGGCCACCGCTAATCTGTGTCTGCGCCGGGGAGTTGGCCACCGCTAATCTGTGTCTGCGCCGGGGAGCTGGCCACCGCTGGTCTGTGTCTGCATCGAGGAGTTGGCCGAAAAGGCGACGGGAGGGATTTTCGCGGGCTGGGTGAGCACACGGTGTTGACATAGAATGGGTCGCGGCTTGGGTTGGGTACGGACTTTTGGAAGGTTGCGGGTGTGGATAAGGGTAAGATGCAAACAGATGTAAGATGTAAACAAATATAGGATGTAAACAAATACAACATGTAAGCAGACTTAAGGTATAAGAATTTACAGGATATTTAAGATGTATCATACGACACGTTGGATAGACACTTCAATGAATGCTTCACAACGTTACTGTTTGAGCTTCTTTTGGTCACCGGCAGCTCCATTCAACTCCTGTTGCAATTATGAAAGCGAAGAGAAACAATTTTGGGTGGATAATTCATCAAAACTTTCCCATTATCTAAACTTAAAGTGCTGCAAAAATGCAAACGGGTGGGTGACGGGTGGGTATAACTGATTGGAGGTGGGCAAGGGGTGGATATGGACATAATCCCACCGGTAATGGATAGATGGTGTAAAGGAAACCTAACCCGCGAAGGCCTCTCCATAACGTGACAGGGCAGAGCACGAAGGCAGCGGGTAGACTACTGTCTGATCCCGCCAAAGAGGAGTCGGCTCTGACTCCGACTCCGACTCAAGACATCTGCGTCTGGGCGTGGCCGTGGTCAGCGTGGTACGATCCGGCGTCGAACCCGCCGAGGATCACGTCTTATTATGGATGTAATCCACTGTCATCGGTGAGAAGATCGCCGCGGTTTTGAACAGGGCAGAGTTAGTCGAACTATTAAAAGACAAATATGGAGCATTTGCTTCGCTAATGGAACAGATGCAAGTACTCCAAGCGTTGTTTCGGTGGCGCTTGACCTGTGAAAGGAAAGCTCCAGATCTTGTGTCACATTCTCATTCGACCCACCCAAGGCTATGGCTAAAAGCACTGGTCGATGCCGGCCCCGATGTTATCACGGCCTCGCCGAATTTGAACATCTCCTGGCTCACTTCGGCTTGACTAATCCCACGTCCAGTTCGAGTTCGCATGCAGTGAACCACCAGCGTGGCACCTGAGCCGGGTTGCGAGGCATGGCCAAGGACTACTGCACCTTTCGCGGGTGTCCTTGGACGACTGACACTGCAGCCAGCCCGCGATGGCACTCGGGCTTGTCCTGCTTACGACCCGATAGATATGAATCATAGTCAAGTCTGCCTTCTGCATTGTTCTGCATTGGGGGCGGCCTCTATGCCCAGCAGTGGGAGAGAACACGATGTGCTACATAGGTGATGCATGCAGAAATGATCATAGCACATGAAGAATCATCGTGTTTTCCTTCAGATTTTTCCTTCAGAGCCGCCTCCGTGGTCTTGGGGAAAGATGCTGGACTCGTAATCCAGCGGCACTGGGTACGAGTCCCAGAGTGGGCGCATTGTTTGACCCGACTGAAATGGAAAGGCCAGCTGGCAACTGGCCAACGAGGCTCAACCCAGACCCGAGGCGGCCGTGTCGCAGCATTGTGCGGCACGTAAAACCCTCCGCATTCCTGTCCGGCGAAAGGGCGGAGGCAAAATTATCTGTTGAAATGGACGGCACGCTTGGGTGGTGGGTTCGGGGTACACGCAACAAGCTATGCTTAGCAGGTACTCTGAATCCGAAGTCACCCATACAAACCATTCGGGATAAATTTATTTTAAAAAAAAGATTCGGACGTCAAAGCCCGTGACCTGGTTGTGTTCTTTGGTCTTTTTTACTTTTTTTGTTGCCGAATGTGACGATCAGATGCGGTTGCTAATTTCCAAAGGGCCGCTCTAGTCGCCGCTCTAGTCGCCAAGTTTTGTATTATACACATTTATCGAACATTTTTAAGTATCCTTCCTAAAATTAAAGGCTGCAGTAGGTATCTATTTCTACCGCAAATAATTCAGAACACCATTCAAGTCACACCACTTCCCATAGAATCATTTACTTCGGTGGGTATTAGCGCCGAAACATTGGCAGCTTCAGTATTTGTGGAAGAAAATTTATCGACTTTGGAAAATTAATTGGAAAGACTTTTGTCCCATACTTCAGAACTATTTGCCTAAGCTTATTATTGACCTATCAGTAAGCTGTGTTCCACGCAATGAACGGTCAAAGGTAATAACTGTACATTTTCGAGCAAAAGACATCTTTTTACCCCTTGCATGCTGTTAATGGCCTATTTGTGTTGGTATCTTAGGAACGGATTACACTGCATAATATGATCGAGCAAAAAGTACGTGGTGGCATCGACGTGGACTTTCGAGCGTGCTTCGTATGAATGAAGCCATTCCCCAAAATGGCTTTGTCGCCGATTACTTTATAAACCAAACTTTGCTACTATCGAATTTTTACCATCTTTATCCACCTGTTTGGAACCAGCTCACGTTGAATGACAAAACGAACAATTCCTTTAATCATGCTACTGATTAGTCCAGGTGATGTTACAGTCAGAATCTAAGCACATGCATTTGCAAGGACCCTCGCAACCCACGAGAATAAGATTCGACCGCCCGTGATGTTGAACTCGGGCTCACAACGCTGGATGAGGACGGAGGCCGGGCTCACAACGCCTCCCCCCGCTGGATGAGGACGGAGGCCGGGCTCACAACGCCTCCCGCTGGATGAGGACGGAGACCGGGCTCACAACGCCTCCCGCTGGATGAGGACGGAGACCGGGCTCACAACACCTCCCGCTGGATGAGGACGGAGACCGGGCTCACAACGCCTCCCGCTGGATGAGGACGGAGACCAGGCTCACAACGCCCCCCGCTGGATGAGGACGGAGACCGGGCTCACAACGCCTCCCGCTGGATGAGGACGGAGACCGGGCTCACAACGCCTCCCGCTGGATGAGGACGGAGACCGGGCTCACGACGCCTCCCGCTGGATGAGGACGGAGACCGGGCTCACAACGCCTCCCGCTGGATGAGGACGAAGACCGGGCCCGCAGACACCGTACCAACGGTACGACAGAGCTGACCCTCGAGCTTCGCAGTCGCCCCAGCTCAGCCTCCCGCTGGATGAGGACGGAGACCGGGCTCACAACGCCTCCCCCCGCTGGATGAGGACGGAGACCGGGCCCGCAGACACCGTACCAACGGTACGACAGAGCTGACCCTCGGCCCTCGCAGTCGCCCCAGCTTACGGCCACCAAGGCAGCTATGCATTGCAAACGCCCAATGACAAAAACTGATAAATAGGCTCCTACATGACGCTCGGGGCCTTGGGACTAGAGGCCCTGGTGCTGCCCGACATCCGGGCTCCAGGTGACTGGTCCGCTGATCCGGTGGGTCGAAGACCCATCTCCAGTCAACATAAAGCCTTGGGTTTAACTGAGCACATAAGCTCTCAGCTTACATAAGCATGTATTCGTTCGGGACCAAGAGATCAAGATGGCGATAGCAGAACGCTATCACATCATCACGGCGTTAGGAAGCACAGCATCACGACGACGCTGTACATCAACCATCAATGATGCTGTTTCGTCGTTAACAGTGAGCAGTGACAACGTTGTGCAAACTGAGGACACACACACACACACACACACACACACACACACACACACACACACACACACACACACACACACACACACACACACACACACACACACACACACACACACACACACACACACACACACACACATATACACACACCTAAATTTCAAACAGTCTCCACTGTGAGCCTACACAACGCTGGTATGTCAGAAGTCTGTGGTCTTCAATTAATCATTCGACAGGAATTGAAGCGAAACCAAAAAAGAACAGATCGTGATGCAACTCTTCCGTCCAATTTCGATCATACAAGGAAGACGCGAATCACGAACGGTTCTTTTTCGGTTTTCCGTTCGATTCCTGTCAAACGACTAGGTGAAGCCGGCAGACGGCCGGCAGGTCGGCGTAGTTCAGGCTCACAACGGGGATTGATTGACATCGAGGTTCCAGGCAAGAATGCACAGCACTGATCTCCAGCCGTCCATGGCGCATGATGTATGTCACTTGTGCGAGAGCGAAAACAAATCCATTGTGCCAGTCTTTACAGGTTTATTATATATGCTCCGTTTTCTTACGTCATCTGCAACAAAAGCAAGAACGGAACACGAACTAGATATCAGCAACAGATTATTTAAAACGTGCGCTCGCCCATATGACGTGCATGTGAAGGCATGCGATTCCGCTGAAAGCGTTCTTATGGCTCATTCACTGTTGCGTTTTTGCACGCGTTGGACGCGCGTACATATCTCCAGGCTATAATCTGCACAGCTGCCTACGTCATACTTTTGGTGAATGCGTCAGACTCTCCGATAACTCTCCGATAGCTATCGCCACTGCACACAGGATATAATTTTTTACACAATCTCCATGCGGTCACGATGGGCAGCGTTCTAGAAAGGGAGAGAATTTAAAACATTTCAGAGGGGATCCAAGGTTCTGTTTGCCTGTTGGGATGCCAAGTTCGCTACTTATTTGTCATATTTGCAAACGATTGACAGTGGGCTATCGATCGGGGCATTCTTGCATGCCTTTGAAATGATCTAAATGCCCATTTGGACCCGAGGATGTCTTAGTTTGCGGCGAGCAAGCCGCATTAAATCATAACTCGAACATCCTCGGGTAGATATCATACGTCGCACACTCATGACTTCTCAGGGCTTTGCGCCCGTCCGACATGCTTAAAAGTGTCTTTATGATTGAACCATAACACAAACATATGTGCACCATGGCATCATACGCGGCTCAGTGGCCGTAATGAAGAGGGATTCGGCTGGTTTTCGGCTTTCCGGCTGCGGTGCGCGTGACGGAGAAAGCACTCACGAGTAGGCATGTTGCATTCAACATCGAGAAGAATAAATGTCCCTGAAGTACGCGAGACATTCTGACAAGACAAACGCTCTTCGTAATGCCATGTGAAAGCTATCTTCAATGCTCGCTAGCAAAGGCGAGGTCAAACGTTCTGAAAGCGACGCTATGGATGGCGCGGGTCTGAGCTGAAGGTCAGAGATGTGTTCCATTTCGCCGGCCGCAAAGCGATGCTCAAACAGCCCACCCTTTTTGGACGATTCAGCTTGAATACGATGTGGGCCAGAGAAAATTTAAGCTCCTGGTTTTTCCACATTGTGAGTTGGGGTTTCGGCATTCTGGAGGTTCTTGTTCTGCCAATAATCCACCTTCAATATACGAAGATGTGATGATTGAGCGACGGTATCATGCAGGCAGCGCGGGCAACGCGCTCTGAATATTGTCAACAAGGCCAATGCTTACCTGATAACGATGTGTCCAGCCCCCCCCCCCCCCCTGGTACATTGGTGGGGGGGGGGCAGTTATTGTTGGAATAGGAGCTCCCAACTCATAATGTAGCTTCCAGTTTTTAAAGAAAATATTCCAAAAGTCATGTTTTACTTCATCAGTCGGACCAGACAACAAACAAGTTTCAGCGACGGAAGCCGATTGGCATCTAAAACATCTTTGTACAGAAGCAGCCGTCTACTTGCATTTGCGGGAGGATTTTACGCAAGTCTTGATTTAAAATGACAGTTTCTCGCACCTTCATGTCATCATTATCCTCAGTACATTCCGGAAGCCAGCGCCTGACGCCTAAGGATGCCAATGCACGGGACCTGGGGGAAACACTGGGCCCGCGGTTGACGTCCACTTCTCTGCAGAGGCGATGAGATGCCGCCGCCCGCGCCTCACCACCGACCAATCGCGCCTGTCACGCGGTGCCGCCACGCCGCCTGAAAATCTGTCACCGTAGCCAGCGACCGAGCCTGAACGAAGCTTGAGGCTCGCTGGAGGTCGGCGTCACTGACCTGTCAATGTTGGGGGTGGGCGCCGGCGTGTCGGGATTGTAACAACTCAGGTCGTCCGTCCTGACGTTGTTGGCCAGGAGGATGACCACGTTGGGGATGGCCGGGGCGGCCGCCTCCAGCAACATGGTCAGCACCAGCAGCCGGAGCGTCATGGCAAGGCCGCACCGTGGCGAAGCGGCAGGTCAGCGGGCCGAGGTCGGCGCACGACTGGCGGCCGGCGGCGGCCGCACAGCGTCTGTCACCGGCGCTCTCGCAAACCGGTCCCCCCGCCCGCGCCCGCCATCTCGACCTGAGGCGCACGCTTCCGCGCTCTCGGCGCAGCTCGTGCCGCCGGCTGCAGTCCTGCGACCTCCGACCGGTAGCGCTCAGTTCATCGGCGTCTCGGGATCACGCGGCAGGTCCGGCCCGCGGATCCGGCGGGCCGCCGGCCGGACCGCAGCGTCCTTACGACCGCTGCGGTCGGTAGGCGCGGCTCACTCCGGCGGCCGCGTCGTGCGTTCACCTCGTAACCTTGCCGAGGCGGATCAGGCTGCATGTAGTTTGCATAACAAAGGGGCCGGTGTTGCTTTTGGGCCGACTGTTGGGAGGTCGGCGTGATCGCCGAGAGGCGAGACGCTCGATAAATGATGACGATGGACTGTTCCGCGGTGCCTGCGTCATGCGAGTACTGCTGGTGGGCCATTCACGTGTCCATGGCATGGTGTACATGTTCCTGTGGCAGATATCCATGCGATTACAAACCGGCTCCCTGATGCACAGTCTGCTACATCGGTGAACAAGGTGGGACGCTGTTCAGCCGCGACGTGTACATTAATCTGACTGTGCATATTCATGCGTGATATCTGTCTCTGGTTTTCCCTGCGACTGCGAACACATCAGCAATCTTTTTTGAGTTGCGTGCAACAATCACACGTTGGTATATTTTGGCCATTTTCGCGCGGGTCTCTTTCCCAAACCATTGCAGTGTTTTAATATGCATTTATTTGCGTAGGAAAAATGTGTGGCCCACTCAAGCAGCTTGCCTTAAATGAAAAGCTTAAAGTGAACATGCACGTGGGATGAACATCCGTGCGGTATTTTCGACCCTGACTTCTGTCTGGATCCAGTTTAAGACCACTGCATGCCTCCCAAAGCAATAGATAAAAACACCGCCCACCGTCACGTCATTGTAGCTAAGCACGATGAACAAGGCACGGGCTTACTGTCCGAGATGTAATCAAGGGTGATAACTCTAACTGAAGCCGTCTTGCACCGGCCGTTACCATGTTGAAACGCAAGTACTTTTGCTATCGCCAGTGAAGACGTGCGGTAATGTCTTCAACGTATGATTGAGAACCTTGCTATGTCTATCAACGCAATGAAAGGAGGTTCTGAACACCTTCGTTTTAGGTACATGAATAAAGCGCCGTGGTTCGTATGCAAAGTCCAATATTTCGTGATAAGGGCGATTTGTATCTCATGGCTAAGGGTACTAATACGATCGACGTAATTCGATTATCGTCCGCTAATTTCTTGGATGTGAAGTCAGCGAGGTAACAGGGAGGCGGATTATACTACGTTGGAAGATATTATGGCGTGTAATGTGTTTCAAGCTAGAGGCTGGCCATTTACAGCTGATGTTAATGTACTGTTGTGCCCAGCTCGCGTTCGCCTTGCATGATAGTTAATCACCGTGTGTGGTAATCCTTGCATGCTGCTTGACAGCTGAGCGTTCTTAAACTCACAAGCAGCCCAAAAGTTGTTTAGCTTGCAACCAAATACATTAGCTGCGTATGGAGGGCATATATATGCTTACTGTCGTAAGCATTTTATAAGTTCAGCAGCGGGAGGCGGATTCAGTAAAAAGGTGCACGAAGTGTGCGCCCCTCCTCCAACCCAGGGAGAATCCCTGCACGCGAGGAGTAGGGAGATGAAGGGATGCTTTACGAAATCGGTGCTGGTCTTCCCTAAAAACCCAAAAGAAACCGTTAACGTTGATGCGTGAGAACTAAAAGACCCAAAAAAGCCGTTAACGTTGATAAGTGAAAAGAAATGTTACCGCCAACGGCACCAGCGGACAAGTTCAACTGTCACCTCGCAGCCGTCGGTCCGCTCACCGCCGCTGACCTGGCGGTGGATGGCCCTCCCCTCCCCCAGACCATCCCTCAGGCCACAGACCTCCCCTACCTCCCATGTGTCACGACGGCCTGTCGGTGGCTGCGCCCTGAAACTCTCCGGAACTATTACAAGCCATGCGCATCTTGTCGCCTTCGCGGTCTGCAGGCCTCGGTGACAATGCTTTGCCGTACTCGGGCCATCATCTTCGGCGTCTTTCCCAGTCCTCCTGGAACCTCTCTTCAGTCGAACCCGTTCGGACATCTGGTTGCCTTAAAGATGTAAGTAATGCTTGACCCATCTCAATTTTGTCGGTTTCTTCCGATATTGAACAAAGTTTGTATGAACGCAACTATTTTGCCATCTCGTCACCTCTCATCTTTTAGCTACCTCACAACACGGAAGACCTTGGTCGGCGCCGTCGAGTGACTCACTCGCCGCATTGATAACGGTAAGCTGGAGCTTTCATCTTAGTTGACCTTAGTCGTGCATTTGGCAGCGTCGAACATGGCGTCCAGGAACTTTCAGTGGTATGGTGTTGACCCGAGGTAGCTCCGAGCTACCTTTGTGGCCTGTGGCAGGTGGTGAGAGGCGGTTTCTTACCCTTTGGCTGCCTCACGGTGTTCCTCAGGACACCAAGGTCGGCTACAGTCTCTCCAGCATCCCGACGAACGACCTAATACCATACGCACCGGTTGCTGGACTCTGCGCATCTTGAACACTCATCCGTTTTGCAGTTCCAAGGAGAGTACCCTCTTATCGCTGTTACTTCTCTGGTGCCTCAGTTGGTTAGACCGCCTGCTTCCGATCCACCGACCCGTGGCGGGGTGGGTTCGAGTCGCTTCAGGCTTTCGCCGTTTGCCTCTGGCAGGTGTGGCCTGCGACCGGTGGCAGCGGCCGTGCTCAAGATGAGGTGACGTCAGAGGGCAGGATGACTGTGCCAGGCATTGCAGCACGTCAAACTTGCGCCACCAAAGTCTGCCGTTGACATAGAAATTCACGATCGAATGGTAGGGGCCATGGCTCTCACCACAAACACTGCTTAGCGTGAGCTCTAACCTCAAAAATCCATTCATTCAAAAGGCTCTGATTACATATTTTTAAAGATAAAAAATCCTTCTTTACATTCAGCTTCTTAAAAATGGACCCCGTCAAAAAGACCACTACGCTCCGTGACCCCATTGACGTCACACACCATCGCCTTCTCCGCCTGCGAATACACGCATTGGTCCAATCGACAGGCCATTTTCCTGGGAAGAGCACATCATGCACATCTGCACATCTCCAACATCACCGAACAGTGCGCTTCATTCTTTTGCGTCGGTACACAATATGTCCCCATATCACACCCGAGGCATGGAACTCCTAATCTAGGGTCAGTGTTTTTCTCCTTGATTTTCCCGCCACTCATTTTTGGGGATCTGTGGCAGCAGGTCAAATAACCCCTGTTCAAGAAGTTAGAAGTGTTTCTAAAACCGTGTTCCAGGTGGGACACCTGGCGATACCAGGGTAATGCAAAAGGTATGGCACAAAATAAATATTTGCGTTAGTTGTGCTTGGTTTTATGACCGAAAAATTAATCTCACTTGTGTCGTTAGTAATCGCATTTGCACTTGCATTTTATGGTAGTGATCAGCTGACCAGTCAGTGGGGTCAAGTGACCCTCCGAGGAACAGCATTCAAGGTTCGCCATTCGGCCCAGATTCGCCCGCAGCAGCGGAAGGGTCGAGCACGCAGTAACCGAGAGCTTGCTCGACGCGACATGACATTTGGCAAGTGCAGGCTGGCTTCCGATGTGCGCTGTAGTCCTGCTGAACCTGTATCCTCGCACCAAGGAATCGTACGCTTGCAGACCTGTCCCGTACACCACATTTTTGGCCTTGCTATTTTGTGACCGGGTGAACAAGTCGGCTGCTAACTCCATAGAGCAGCCATCTGAAGCTGACCGCGGGAAAGCACTGACTCAGTCAGACTGAGACCCACATCCAGGGACCGGTTCTTGGGCCTTAGCTCTTGTCCAGAGCTACGTTGTAGCTCTGCTTGACGGGAAAAAGAATCCGCTTGAACTGGAAGGGGATGTCAGATGAGATGAGAGGACTCTTGGGAAGAAGACGCCGGCTCTCACGGCCCTGCCTGTCATAATGGCCGTCTTTGCAGAACTTGGAGATTCAGGTTTTGTAAGAGGATGATCACGGGTGTCGATTTGTTTTCTTTTGGGTTGGTCACTGGCACCCACAAGTCTAAGCTACCCCTCTCCCAACGGTGACTTGCCCCTCCCGCTCACCCACCCCAACCTTCCGGAGCCTAAGTATGTACATGCAAAACATCAAAAGCGAGAACTAGAATAAGGTGTCAATTCTGAAGGTTTCTCATAATCGTTTCACAGATAAAAAGAACGAGCAAAGTGCAAAGAGCGATGTAAGTTTCAGCTGAATGCATCTGACGTGTGTGGTGTGACGGAGCTCGCAAGCTGTGTATGAGCTACCTACCCAAGCGTGATAAGCCGGGCGGTCCCACCTCAGAACAATGCGCTCAGCTAAGCTAGCCAAGGCTCGGAGCCACCACCAAGACACTGGCGGTGGTGTAGCGGCCTGGGCAGGCAGCCACTGCGCCTGTAAAGCCGCGTAAACAGGACCATTTTCCTTCCCAACGAGGTGTGATTCCGCACGGCGGCACGGCCGGTGAGAAAGGCGCTGGCCGGCCTTCGGGTCACCACCCTTCCGTGCGAATACCTCCTGAATAGCGGCAGCATCACAGCCGCCCAACCTTGACGCCAAGAACGCCCGACTGGGATGGAAAGGTCAGTGGCCCGGAGAGCGCGATGAAACCAGCTGGTCACGCAGACGACCGGTAGAAATCGGCGATCTCCGGCGGCGAGCTCAGCGCGACACTGAGCCAATCAGAAGCGCGCTCTAGTAGGCCTGAAAATCCGACGCATCGTAGCCAGACAAATCGCCGCAGAGAAGGGCGGGAACGATTCGGCCAGAGCGCAGGAGGAACAAACCGGTACAGGGACACTCCCAGATGTGATGCAAATGAATTAGGACTGAAGCGGCAGGCAATCTCGCGTCCGAGCGCCCACAGGATGGCTGCGT